GATACGGGTGCTGGATTAGAACGAATTGCGATGGTTTTACAAGGAAAAAAAAACACTTTTGAAATTGACCTCTGAGAGCCAGTTATTAAGTTGATAGAAAGTTATTGCTTAACTAATGGTTTGAAATAACTCAGAAAAAGAGAAAAAGAACCACCCTTAATTTAAAAAAAGTAGTAAAATCAGTTAATAAGTATTATGAAAAGCAAAGTCGTTCTGACGAACTTTCTCAAAAACCGAACACCAAAAATATTTAGAGGAATTAGAAGACCCTAATTATCAGGGAGGTTCATGGGCTTTACCGGAAAATCCGGCCCCTTTGGAGCAGGCTAAATATGAGATTTGCCAAAAAGTAATTAGATACAAGAGAAATAATAAATTAACCACGGAGGAATTTGCCAAAAAAATCCAATTAAGCCAGGCTGAAACCGAGGATATTTTGTATTGTCGACTAGACCACTTTATCCTGGATAGATTAATGGATTACACCAACAAATTATTTTCTCCTGGTGAAGCAAAAATCACCATTAAAGAAGTTGACAAAAAAATACATGCCCAAACTGTTTAAGTTTAAAGAGGAAAATTTTTCAGAAAAAGATAAAGAATTATAATGAACCTACATTTGCTTATTTGAATTTACCTTTAACGAGCAAGCAATCAGCGAGATAACCATCACCGACCACCCTTGACGGAAAAAAGGCGAGAAAAAATTACCAAAGAACTAATTTTAAGTATCCTAAAAGAAAAAGTAAACGGGAAAGAAATGGAACCTGAACCCAAGAAAAACTCTCATTGGAAAAGAGGCCATTTTGTTCCGAAAAGAATTCATTTTGATGGAAAAAAGTATAAATTGGTTTTTTGATTTAAAAAGATGATACAACCAATCACCTATGAGTAAAAAATTGTCATCAGCAGGATTAAAACATGATGCATGCCCCGTAATACCCAAGAATATATTTAACGGCTTAATCAATAAATCCTAACACCATCGCTCATTTCAAACGAATATTGGCAAGGGAGGTCATTGGGCAATCTTTAACTGATTTTGAAGAGCACAGTCAATTGATAGCGTTGAAAAAATACTAAACTGATTAGTAAAAACATTAATAAAATTAATAAATATAAGTAATATGATTTTAGAAGAAATAAAGTATTGTAAATATTGTAATAGTGAACTAAGAAAAATAATCTATG